TTCTTCAGCACCTCCATAACCCCATCAAACCACTGCCAGAAGGTGTAATTCCGTCCAGGCAGGTTTTCCTGTTTTAATTAATAGAAAAAAAAATCTCATAAAAACCCCCCCAGCAAGACAGATGAGCATTTCTCTCCCCAGCCAATTCCCTGTTTAGTGGCAGCTGCATTTCGCACCATTCCAGCTTCAGCCACAGCGAGACACAGCCCACCAGGAAACTCCTGAACCAGCAGGGCATTCTAGATATAGACAGCCAGCTCACATCCTCATCAGCATGGACCTGCTAGGGGCAGGTAAGCCTTGATTACAGGTGAAAGGGAAGCTCACACAACCATTCACTTTGTGCATCTTTACAAACAGCTGCACACTGGATTGCGGTAAGAAGTAACTGCCTCTGCTGCCATGGGGATTTCTGACTGCAATGCCCACTGAAAGGGCAATGAGCAGGAATCCTGGAGCATTTCATGCCAGGTGTCCCCTGCTCCAGCTCCCTTAAAAGGAAAGGGACATTTCACCTCTGCCAAAAAGAGATGCCACTTCATTACTGCAGTGCCCCATCCAGCACGTGTGTGGCTATTAGCACGCCTTGCTCAGAGCAAGGCGAGACCCTGCACGCCCAGTACTGGGTGCCTTCTGGTATATCAAGGTCCTAGCCAGCACAGCTTACCCTGTTGAACTGGGACCAGGACACAGTCATGCTATTGTAGTCCTCCAGGTGGTTGCTGGGGCTGTTGAAGAGCTTCTGGGCCAGGAACACCAGGTTCTCCTTTGTCAGCCCCCGGTTGCTCTGAACTTCAGCCTTGAACTTCATGTTGAGTGCCTCACACAACTGGGGCCACAGCACTTTGTCAGGCACGGCAAATGGCACCCGGCCCTGCAGAGAGAAGGTGCCACTGGGAGTCAGGCTGCATCAGGCACCTCCCGGATGGGGATCAGGCACCAGGGGCCCTGTAGCCATCATCCCGACCTACCCCCAATACTCCTACCCTCCCGCTGCTACTGGCCAGGGCAGGGCCATGTCCATGACTGGGATGCAGGATGCAGCAATGCAGTACAGAAAGGGTGAGAATCAGGATGGGTCAGACCGGCGCTTGAGGAGAGAAGTACCGGGCTGGAGCAGACCATCAGCCCTGCTAGCTTGGGAGGCCAGGGTCAGTCCAGAAGACCCAGGGCCCACATGTCATATGGGAGGAGTGACACAGAATAGCTCCCCCTCCTATGCAGGGTTTGGAAATCTGACCCCTCCTCTGATGCTGCAGGCACTGCCTACTCACAGGCTCCGCGAAGGCATTATCCCAGAGCACAGTGGCTGTGGCATTGTTGTCCTGGCTCCCATGCACGATCACCACCACAGGCAGGGACAGCGTCTGTGGGAGCAGCAGGGATGCAGATCAGGGGGGAGATGGGAAGGGGGCACTGGGCACTGCAGAGGCATCTCCTGGGGCTGCAGGAGGAACCAGGGCCCCTGGCTTCTCCCGGAACTCAGGAACACAGGAGCCCCAGGGAGCACCACCCCCTTGACTACTCAGCTGATGCCAGGGTGGGACTGAGCTGCACTCTGCCAGCAGCTCTTCTCCCCATGCTGTGCTGGGGTGTTCTGAACTGGACACCCACCCCCCATGGGGAAGCCGCAGGCTCCACAGGCTTCTGGCCCCAGTGTGGCCACGCTCGTTGGTGACTGGAAGTTGTCACCTCCCTCCCCAGCACCACCTCCAGGAACCAGCCCAGGCCACACCACCCCCTCTGCCCTTTGAATGCCCTCCTCCCTGTGAGTGACACGTTGCAGCCAGAGCATGGTGAGCAGCCAGTGTTCTCCACCCCAGTGCAGATCCCTAAAGGGCTCCCAGTCCCCCAGCACCTGCCCCAAAGGGCTCCAGGCCTTCCCTGCCAGGCCAGGCCCTGCAGCAGGGGCACCACCAGTGCAGGGGCAGCTTTACCTTGACCTGGAACACCAGCTCATTGCCACCAACACTGAACTGAGACTCGAAGAGGATGGTGAACTTCTCCTCGGTCACCGACTCAGCACCACGCCGGTCTGAGCGCTTAATGCGCTTCAGGGACTGGAGGAGGCAGGGAAGAGCGTGAAAGGTGGATGGATAAGAAGGGGGGCAGGGGCAGAGGCAGTGCCCTGGGCCCGGATCTCACCATGTTCCTGAAGTGTGCACTCAGTGTGCCCGTGGCCTGGTGGTACTCCATCACGCAACAGTTGTTCAGGATCTCCCCACTACTCTCACTGCAATGGGAAAGCACCAGCTCAGGGGGTGGCGCTGGCTACTCAAACTACCACGGCCCACCCAGAGGCAGAGAGCCAGCACGGCTCCCATGGCCAGTCTGCAGGAAAGAGGGTGGCTCAGCTCTCCCTGAGAACAGAGAACCAGCTTGTGGGGCTGGAGTCCAGCTACAGGAACAGAGAATGGGCAATGGCTCAGTCCTGTGCAGTGTTACCTGCTGGCAGGGCCAGGCCCTGAATGTCAGCTGGGCCAGATGTGGTCTCCTGTAGATGGGCCCCTAGCCAGGGCAGTGAGGAAGGGGCAGGCTCCATCCCCAATGGTATAGGAAGGAGCACACTCACATGGCCCCACCCTCTGCTCGGAAATGCCCTACGCATCCCCAGTGCTGGGGCCAGAGGGGTGAGGGCATCTATGCTCTGTGCTGGGCTCTCAAGAGGGGCAGCCTACCTTGTGAGCAAGGAACCCCCCCACAAAGGCCCTTCCCAGCTCCCCACCCCAGAGCTCTCCTATCCCCAACCTCCAGGGGGCTTTGCCAGCAGGCAGAGTGCCCCCTGCCTGGTGTTTCCCAGGCACTGTCCCCCCCCAGGGTGGGTGGGAGTGCCATTACTTGCGGGTGCTCTCGTTCTTCAGCAGGGCTTTGGCTTGCTGCTCACTGATGATGGTGGCCTTAACCTGGGGTGGGTTCATATGCACATTCAGCTTCCCCCCAACCAGAAGCCGCACTGTGGCCGCAAACTTGGTCTGTGTCTTCAGCACCTGGGGGGGCTGCTTCTCGATGATGAAGGTGCTGGGGGAAGACACTGGCGTCACTGCCATGGTGCTGGGGCAAGGCTCATCCATGGCAGGGGGAGGCCTTCACCTAGCCCCCACTGTGGGGTCTGCAGCCCCTAATCCCCTTTCCTAGCCCCCTACAAACCTGCTGCCCAGCCCCTGTAAGCCCCCAGTACCACTACCCACTGAGACTCCCCTCAAATCCCACCCTACTCCTCAGCCTGGTGCCCCTCACTGTCCACATCCTGCCTGATGGGGGTTCCCAGAGCCCGAATGATGATTCCCAACTATGTCCTGACCTGGCCTGGCCTGTGTCTCCTGCCTTCCCTGCCCAGCCCCTGTGGGGAGAGACTGGCCAGGAGCCTGTCAGGGACCAACCTGGCTCTGCTGGGGCCCCTTCCCCCCCTCACCACATTACCTGGTCACCAGGGCAGAGATGATGTCAGTGATGGTGCTGTTGAGGTCACCCAGCATCTCCTCCACGGGGCCCGGGATTGGCAGCTGCTGGCACACATGCTCGGCCCGACGGATCTGCTGCCGGTTCTGCCAGATGATCTCGGCCAGCTTCTCACACCTGAGGGCCAGGCCCAATCAGTGCTCATCCAGGGCCCAGAGGAGACGCTCAATGCCCTTCAGTCCTGTGTGCAGCCCCCCTGCCCCTGGCCAGACCTTCTTTAGGATGGAGCTCCCTATCTGGCCAGTCCCCACTGCCCCAGACACAGGGGGACCCCACTCTGGAGGGCTCCAGCCAACACCTGGGGCTCAGCTGCACAAGAGAACCAGCAGCGCAGCCTGATCCCCAGCAAAGAGAGATGCCTCCCATGGCTGGCACACACCCAGCAAGCATCATGTCTCTCTCGGGCTGGCTCACTGCTCAGACGTGGGACACAGCCAGTGACTCCCTGAATCCAGGGCTGTCCTAGTCTTGTATGGCTCTTTCCTGGCCAGCGCTCAGCATAGCCACGCTCAGACTGACCAGCAGTACCCTGAGACCTGAGCCCCGAGCTGCCTTGCCCTGCAAGGCCCAGAGCCCCATTGCCAGCAGGGCAGATGGCGCAAGGTGGGACACACCAGGACTGCAGCATGTCCAGGGTGCCCTCAGGGGGGCCACCATTCCCCGCCAGCTGCTGCCGCCGCTTCCACTGGATCAGCTCATCGTCCAGGATGGTCGTCTGCTGTTTTCGCAGCAGCTGCAGGGTTTTCTGGTGCTTCTCAGCCAGTTCCTGCAGAGGGTGGGACAAGGATGTCACTGCTGGGTGGTAGCAGACCTAGGGCAGGGCTGGGGAGGGCTGGGGTGACCCCAGCCCCTGTGGGGGCTGGGCCAGTGCTCACCACACGATACTGCTGTAGTGTCTGGGCCTCCCGGTGCAACCAGGCCTCCAGCGATGCCTTCTTCTGCTGCAGTGTCGTCTCCCGGGACATGCGCTCCTGGGGACCCAGCTGTGAGAGCTGGGAGAATTGGGCTGGGGAGGAAGCAGAGTGTTAGGGCCAGCCCAAGCCTCACTGGTACTGGGGGATCCCTGGCCCCTCATTGATTCTCCAGGGGCCCACTGCTGTCCTCATCCAGAGGGGAAATGTGCTCCCCAGGCCCTTGCCCTGGTGAGGTGACACCATGGGCCAGCAGCTTTAGGCACTGGCAACTCCAAAGCTGTGCTGTGACAGCAGGGCCTGGGGTTTAGCTAAAAAGGCTCCAGCCCCTTTCCCTTTGTGCCACCTCCCAAGGCAGCATCTCACCTGCAACTACACTGGGCAACTGTAGAATCTATGCCAGCCCCAGCCCCAGCCAGGCACCTGGCACTCCCTAGCTCAAAGATGGTGGAAGTCACTGAGACATTTGTTTGCTCAGGTGGGGCCTCCTCAAGGCTGTGAACCTGGAGTGAAACTCCCTCTACCCTGGGGGTCCTACCCCTGGGGCTTCCCCTGCACTCCTCTGCATTGGCCGCTGCAGACCTGTCTGGGCCACAGCGGATCCCCCTGCCCCACCTTGAAGGCGCATGTTCTCCTGGTACTGGATGATGAAATACTCCTGTGTCTGCTGCAACTTCTTCAGCTCGTTCTCTGTGTCCTGGGTGAAGAGTCTCAGCTCCTCAAAGATCTGGTTTATCTGCAGGTGCTTCTGGGACATTGTGTCCACCAGGCTGCCGGCTGAGGATGGGCTCTGCTGAGATGGGGGGTCCTCAGGTCAGGGCAGGAATAAGCACATCCCCATACCCCAGGGCAGGGGCTGCAGGGCTTGGGGACAGGAACTAGTCCCAGGAAGCAGAGACCCCTACAATGGGCAGCGACAGGGGTCACTGGGATGGCAGGGTGTGACGGGGATCAGTGCCTCCTCCAGGCTGGGGGCTGTTCCCCATCCTGGCACCCCCAGAGTGACAGGAGAGCTGCAACCCCTCCCCCACCCGTCTATATACTCACATTAGTGGCCTCTCGCACCAGCCTCTGCTCATGGTACAGGATGTGCCGGATGCAGCGCACCAGGTCCATAGGGCATCGGTCATACGTGTTCTGCAAGGACAGAGAACCCAGGCCTGAGCCAAGCACAGAGCAAGCCCAGCTGGGGGCCCCTACTGCCCCGTCACTGCCACCCACCTGCGCAGGGGCACAGGGGTGGCACCACCTGTGCCAGGCATGGAAAGATTAGGCTCTTACCAGGGAGCAGCACCCAGCCCTGCCCTACCCTCTTTGCAGCCCCCCTGCTCTTAGGGCATATTTGATAGAAGGTTACTCCTGGACTCCACACAGCTGGGACAGTACGCCCTATCAGCAGAACATGAGTCTTGGGGGTGGGGGACATGCCCTTGGTGTGCAAAACAGCTCAGCAGAGAAAGGGTTTAGGGTAGCAGTGAAGAGCTAGCCCTAAGGACATGTTGGCCCCTCACAACAGAGGAGAAGAGAGAAAGAAATGCTAGGGGTCTTCTGTCATCCCCCACAACCCTGCCCTGCTCTGCTGTCATCCCATCCCTGGCAGTCACACTGCCATCCCAGGCTCTGGGCACCAACCTGCAGCTGTGTGGCATAGTTCCCCAGCTTAATCTTCAGCAAGAAGCCATCCTCGCCCACTTGGTGTTCTGCCTTCTTCTGCAGTTCCTGGACCAGCCCATCTAGCAACTGGGTGGCTTTGATGCTGTCCTGGGGGTTATCAATGTCAATGGAGTCCCTGGCACAGAGAGAGATGGGCAGCTCAGAGGTTAACCTGCCTGCTCTCTGGGCCAGAGCTCATAGCAGAGATGACCCATGATAACACAGTAGATGGTGTTTGCCTCACCATCCCCACCCCCAGTGAGGATGTTGAGGGCTACTGCTCTCAGGTCTTCAGCCTTCGTATGCTGGTGATCCTGCAGGTTTGCTTACAAAGCCCAGAACAAACAGGTGTATATCCCATGTCTGGCTCCACCTTTGCCCCTGTCACCCCATCCCCAGACAGTGAGGGGCTGCCACTAGAGCACACGTGTTTAACAAAGGTACAGGCCCAGAGCACTTGAGTGATTGGGCCAAGGCTGCAATCAGCAGGCAGTGGAGCTTGGAAGAGGGCCTTTCCAGGTCTGGGCTGGCTTCACTCAAGCCACCAGGCTGTGCACCTTCCAGCTATGGTACTTTCAGATCCTGTGATGGTCTAACACCTCAGGGGTGGGCATAAGGCTTTAAAATCCTCCTCCCCCTTTCTGTATGCTAATGGCACTTCCCCTCCTGCCAGCGTTGCCAGGAAAGCCAGTGAAACAGCCCCTCTGAGCTTCCTCATAACAGCCCAGATCCCCCCCACAGCGCCCAGGCCTGGCTGCAGGATGGTTGAGAGCAGCCAGGCTGCCTGGCTGCAAGGGCAGTTTATAGGATAGTGACACCATGTTGGGGGCAAGGGGCCATCAGCTGATATCCAGAGCCAAACCCTGCTGGTTGGGGCTGAAAGGTTGATGGTAGAAAGTCCAGTTCACTGGATGGGGGCTTCCCAAGGTAGGTAGCATCTGGGGTTACTTTGGCTCTCAATTACTGTTTGGGGCAGGCAAAGATGTTTCTGGGCAAAGCCAGGGAGTGTCAGCATAGCCATCGGCCAGGCTCACCTACCATGCTTGGCTCTCAATCCACTGTGACAGGTAATGCCGCACCTCAATAGGGAAGTGCTGGCCGTACAATGCCTGCATCTGCCGCAGGGCCTCCCCCTGGAGCTGCTGGGCCTGGATCCACACAGCCATGGCTCAGTACCTGTTGAGAAAAGAGACCACTTGTGAGTTAAATGCACTTCAGGGAGCAAGATAAGAGGTCACCATGCCCCCAGCCTAGCACAGAACCACCTGCTGCACAACAGGCCAACACAAGGGAGACAGCACCTCATCCTGCTCCAACCTGGGCTCTACCTCACAGGACATGCTAACTTGGAAGGGAGACTTCCTGGTTCTGACCTCACAAGCTGCTGCTAGGAAAAGCTTCTGAAGTCACAAAGGCAAGAGCAAGAATTGGTGGAAGGACCCAGAATCTGAGTCGCCCTCCATTTTCTAGGAAGAGTCCTGAAAGAATTTAGGGCTGGAAATGATTTCCTTACAATGTCTTTGCAGTGTGGTAACCATGGTCCCATAGGAATAGGCTATGACGAGATCACGGACTTGGCCTGGCCAAGCCAAATGAGAAACAACAGCAGCAGGGGAAATGACCCCAAAAATGGAATGAAAGAGATCCAGATTGAGGCCAACGGGAAAAGTCTGTTTCCCCAACAAGTGGCCACAAGTATCACATCACAAGCTAGTGCTCCTGAAGGACCAACCCCATGCTACTGGCTCTGTTCCTTTGCCTCCCTGCCAGCCGACACCACCTAGTCAAATGCAAGCATGATCCCTGGAGGCGCACCAGCATCCTGTTCTGCCCTTCATGCTGTCCTCCCACCAGGGTTAGACTGGGATCTTTAGGATCAAGCACTCAGGGCTCTGGTTTGGGTGTCTCATACTGAGACAGCCTGGCCACAGTGTGACAAGCCAAGGCCCCATGTCCTGAGCACTGCCAGTGGGGCCCCTGCAGCCAGCACGTTTGGGGCACTAGGGGCTGGAGCCTCTGCAGCCTGAGCCAGGTGCTGATTGTACACAAACAGTTTAGCAAGAAAAATGCATGAGGCTATGACTGGTTCTCCAAGTGGATTCCACAAGCTATTTCAGGCAGGCAGATAGGTGCCAGCTTCTATTCCAAGCCCATGGAGTGACACTTGAGCACGGTACTTTCTTACGGACTTTTAGGTATTTCCATTGGCTCATCGTAAAGCACACACAGCAACAACAGACACAAGCCCTGGAGACAGATCTAGAGAGAACAGACAGGGGGACAGCACCTATAAAAAGCAAGAGCTTCACTCGTCACATTGCTATTTGAAGCTCCGTGGGTCTTGGAAAAAACAACTCCACAGTCATAGAGTTTTTCAGGCTGATGCAATGGTGAGTGTTTGGGACTGGCTTCACAGGGAGCTCAGGCCCCTGCAGAGAGCCGCCAGTCAAGGGGGCGGTGAGGAATGCCGCAGGCCAAAACAACAGTGTTAAACAGAGACCAAGCTGCAAAGTCACATGCTCCAAAGTGAAGTTATGCCAGGATGAATGGTGAAATGCAACATGTCCAGGTTTCATCTTCCATGCCAGAATCCAGGGCTGGCCATACAGTTACAACACAGTAATGTCCAGCATGGTGAAAGACACTGTAAGTTGAGTTTTAAAGGGCCAAGAGAACTGAGCAGCACATTAGCCTTGTTCCTGAAGCCTTCTGTATTGCAAGGGTGTGGCGTGCTCTGCAGACATCCTTTAGCTTTACGGGAAAGCTACAAGCTTAGTAATACACAGGAAAGTCGTACCAGGATCTGACACAAATGCAACACAGTCAGTGCTCTTAGCTGAGATTGTGATCCATACCCAAAGTATAAAAAGCAGATGATAACTGGGAGTTAGCTAAGAATAACTTTTTTTTTTAATACAAAACACATTTCCACAGCCAAAAAAGCAAGCTCGGTTGGTTGGTTAAAAATCCCTCATGGTCAAGAAGAGAAGTAAAAACAGTCATTAAAATAGAAATATTAACACAGAAGACCAAAAGGTTGATAGCAGTGAGTACACACATGCCATTAGGAAATGCAAACAATTGACAGGGGGTCCTTGAAAAATCTATGGTAAATAGGGTTAGAGACAACTGGAAAGAAATTTTTCACTATATCAGGAACAAACAAACATGGGCAGCTGTCCAAGTCCAGTTCTGGATGAGGACGGTTACTAACCAGGATGCAGAAACAGCAGACACATTCAAATAACTATTCTTAAATGGTTATAACTAAATCAGGATGAACTGTTTGCATCTTACAGAGATAATGAAATGCTTTCTATTCCACTGGGGGGGGATGTTCAACAGTAGCTATTAAATATTTTCAAATCTACAGCGCTTCCTAAGTAGCTCCTAGGGAGCGTTAAAAACATTGGCTCAGGAGGGGAGGTTCTGAGTTTTTAAAAACCCCTTGGGACAGTAATAGATCCTCAGTCAAGGCTGTCACTGGGAAAGATCCAAAGCAATCGAGAAAAGACCAGTGTATCAGTATTTTGACAGGGCAAACAGCATTACCTAAGTAGCAAACAAGCTCTTACTTCAAAGGCTGGCAGGGGATCACAATCTGGATGGCAGCTTAATTCGGCATCTGATGAACAGAGGTCAGGCTCACAAGAGCTTATGCTATACACCTCTGGTTTAATTAGTCTACAAGGCACAAATCTACCCTGCTTTCTGCTGCAGCTAAATTCAAGTCGGCCAACCTGGTCCTAGGATAACTAGGTCTTGACAAATAAACTTGTTACAGGTACCTTATAAGACCACACGTTCGGCTAATCAACATACTTGTGAAGTTATTACACAGTTGAGTTTCTGTACCCAGTTGACTTAGCCCCACATGACGTTCTGATAAAAGAAAAAAAAGCACTAGACCAAATTAACAGAGTCTGTATTAAGTCAGCTAAAAAGCACCTGAGTGATAAGGTACTTACAAAGTAACTGTAAAGGAGGGAGTCATGTAACAGGTGTGTTTCTATGGGGTCTACAAGAATCTGGTATCTTGATCAACCATCCAGGAGAACTTGCTGGTAACATTTGCACCCAGCACATAAACTGCAATGGGGACCTCTCAGTTCTACAGCATGACCAGGACCACTTCTCAAGTTGGGCTCATCTGCGCCATAAATATTTTAATACAACCAAGTGCAAGGTCATGCTTTTAAACAGAGTGGAGATCAGGATAATACAGGGGAAAGGCAGGGACACCCAGATCATGGTATCTAACTGGCTGGGCACGCACACCCAATATCACGTTGTAGTCAAGACAGCAAACAACATCCTTTAATGCATCCTTTATATGCATTAACCAGCA